TGAACTGACATAAACTTCAACACACACATTCTTACACTTGGCAATAATTGGTCTAATGAGAGCATGTATTTTTTTACCATCAGTTGCACTGGACCATGGGTTTTACATACTTCTGATATATTTGCATTAGTATTATTATACTGTGCACTAGAAACATTTAAAAGACGTAAAACACAATTTAAAACATAAATTAAATCCCTGAATATTGTTTTATTCACCTTTATCCCCAAACCTCCAGTATACTCCAGTCTAATGGAAGCCTTAAAGTTAAGTCAACATTTCCAGCTTTAACTTCCCACGACTGAAACGCTGCTTGTCTCAAGTTTCATTATCTGTCTTGTAACTCACCGGCCTTCTGGGAGCCAGAATCATGATGATCATTAATAGGGGTGCTGGTTTTATTGTTGCCTCATTATAGTAACAAGAGGCTGGAAAGCCTTTGCTGTTCATGTGTCATTTTCATTTTGTCAGGTCTGTCCTGGCAGGAACTAATGCATGAAGTCTGGGTGCACTTTAATAAGAACAGCCTCCACCTCTGGGATGAGATTCCCAAAACAATCTCCTGCAAGAAAGAGAAACACTCTTTTTTTAGGGGGGGCTGGAAAGGCAGCATTTTCATTTTTGGAATTTTACCATCTCAACAACTCTCCCTCTGCAGGACTGGGAACTTTGTTTCCATGGTGATACATTCCACTTCCCAAAACAGGAGGTCATATCCCACAGGGAGATGTCACTGAAGACTTTTTGTTTCCCCTCCTGTGGCCCCTTGTGTGAGTCAGTGCTGAACCAACAAGTGTACTAAAAGCAAACATGGGAAAATCTAAGATATTCTTCTTCTTTTAAGATTAATTTTGCAGTCATAAATCAAACACTGACATTATGGCCTGTCCACTAACTTACTCATGTGTGAGTCAATTAAAAGAACCTGAGGCCAGTGGTTCCCAGAGGGTACCTGAGGTGAATTTGAGTGTCCTGGAGTGTTTTGTGTTAGCCATATTTATGACTGCACTAAAACAATGAACAGATTTACTGTATCAGTATTTTGTATCATCAAACTATAATGATTGTAGCACATGTATATCTGCAAGTGCCTTGAGGCGACTTTTGTTGTGATTTGGCGCCATATAAATAAAATTGAATTGAATTGAATTGCATGTTTGTTCCTGAACTCCTCCTACATGACTAGTTTAGTCTTGATGAAAGTTTTTAGTAGATGCACCTATGGTATTAATTTAATTCATCTTGAATTATCACATCCCCAAAACTTTCAGAAAATTTGACCTCTTACCTTGATCGAGGTCACTGAGATTCAAATTTGTCCAAGATTTTTAGCAGATACATCTATGATATCAAGTTGAAGCTCACACATTGCCTCAGAATCGAGTTATCGCTTTCACACATACGGGCAACCACCTAAAGACCCCACCAGCCTTTTACAGCTGAGCGGTAAAAACTGTTATGCTGGAGAAAAATCATTTTATCAGTTTCCACTTTTGTATAATTTTAAGTAAGATTCAGTTAAGTGTCTGTGAAGGTTCTCAGTCATCCAGGTCATCGTAGTCTAAGGAGCTTGGAAAGAAAAGTGTCTGGGCTTCTTTAAGTTGCTTGAAGACGTTTCACCTCTCATCCGAGAAGCTTCTTCAGTTCTAAGGTCAAATGGTGGGGAGTCCCAGATTTAAACCTAGTGGGAGTTTCCCCCCACAGAGGGACAAAAGGACCCCTGATGATCCTCTAATCGCCTGAGCCAAGGTGTGAAACTGGGTGTGAAACAGTTTCACACCTTGGCTCAGGCGAAGTCCAGACGCTTTTCTTTGTAAGCTCCTTTGACTAAGATTCAGTTAAGCATCAATCCTAATGAACATATTTGAGTACGGGAAGTAGAAATGATGAAGGAGTACTTGAGTCTATTGAACAGGCCTGTGGGGGTACTTCAGATGAAGAAGGTTAGGAAGCACTGCACTAACTGATGAATTAATGACATAAGTGTCTGTAGCAGATATCACAATCCAATTCATTCTCAAACTAGTTTCAAATGCTGCCATTCTAAGAGATCTGAACAAAGTCTTTGTCACTGATGCTTCAGCAGTATCAAACTACAGGGGTCTGTATTTATTAGCTCGAGAGCCTAGAGCAAGGTTTGTCAGCCATTTGGGTTTTCACTTACTGATTAAATTCATTTTCCCTCACCTTATACTTGGACACTGAAGAATGACACGTACCCACTGCATTTAAACCTGACTATTTTGTAGGGAGGTTGCAAAGCTCTTTCTCGGCATTAGCTAAACCAATACCAGTGACCCTGGGAAACATCTTAGAGTTTGTGTTCTATTCACTCTTTCTGTGTAACCACCATATTTACTGTGCTGAATGAATGAGTTAACAAATACCTGCAAATTTTGATATGTTTCCATCATCCTGGATCCTGTCTGCATCATGGCTATTGAAGATTGCCTGGAATAGTAAAAATTAGCAGCATTAAAAGTTTCCCCACACACAGACTTCATCTGGGTGAGCCCAGGTATCAGTGCTGACTTTTTTATTTATTTATTTTTTTGCCTATCCAAAGGAATGACTTTGATTGATTTATTGGTGGACAGCCTCTTTATTCTAGCCCCATATTCTGGCCCTGGCCTGCCCTGTTTTGTGTTTCCCCAGCAGCTGGTGTACCAGTCTCTGTTGTGGCTCTCCAGGGAGATTCTCCTCCCGTGTTGGGATGGAATTCAATTGCACCATCTTGGACTGCAGCTGCTTAATGTATTTTTTTATGCTCCAGAGATCAGTAGTATGCTGGAGGGCCACTCTAACTGGAGCCTGCAGAAGGCAAGTTTATCAGGACTACAACAGAAAATGGATGGGTCAGGCCGTTTCTCCATGTGTAAAGAACGGAAACATGTATCCATGCACTTGGACACACCTGCATGGGAAAGCCCTGCTCCTCCCACACCCACTGCTGCCAAAACAGAATCAAATCCTGTGGGAAACACACACTTACACCTGCATTATTGTTCAGACTGTCGTCAGAGCATTTTTAGCATCTGATTTAAACAGTAGCTGTCAAAGACGAAGAAAACTTTTTATACATCCTGCTCATTTATGCAGTTCTGCAGACGCTGTGCTGGTCTGTTCTGGTGAAAGAAGATGTTCTCGATTAACTGGTTGATTTGCCAAAACAAACAAATGCATACAATACAAATACAAGAAGTGAGCTTCCTCCAAAGGGTGACTAGCTTTTAGTGTTGCTCCTCCCAGTCCAAACATGCCAGTTCACGTGGTTGGGGCGTCTGACCAGGATGTCTAATTAACACCGAGGGGATGATGGACCAATTATATCTCTGTGCTTACACTTGGGAAACTTTGGTATCTCCCCAGAAGAGCTGGACAACATAGTCATGATAAGTCAAGGGCCTTATCCATAATTTAGAACTTGTTTGGTGCAATATGGTTTTTCTATAGCTGAAATGTTTATTTTGCTCCACTTTGGAATGGGAAAATTGCACAGTATGTGATATGTCCTTCTTTGGAATAAGCCACAATCTACAATTTGGAATCAGACCCACATTTCCTCTAAACCTGTTGAGTTGAGCTGCATCAACACTGAAAATGCTTTGCTTAATGTGCCGGCTGCTTTCCATATAACTAACCATAAATAATCTTGGCCTATTGCAAATGCAACACACAGCCTGTGGCAGTCTTGGTTGTTTAAATATTTTTTCTTTGGACGGCAAATAATTATTTTAGTTGACCGAAGTAAGTAACAGGGATTTGTACATCATGAAAAGCCTTCTTTTAATGCATAACTCTGAGCCACAAAGTAGTGCACATCCTGCACCAGCAGGTTCTTGGCCACTTGAAGATGCTGGTCAGTGATAATGACCATTAACCAGTGCTTGCCCTTGACGACAGAGCGAGAACGAACTGAGCGGTGAATGGATAAACAAACAAACTGAATCATCATAAATCTATTATTTAATATTTATTACTTTTTTATTATAGAACTAGGAATAAAAAATACTATAATAATAATAATAATAATAATAATAATAATAATAATAATAAACTATAATAATACTAATAATAGAATTCTGGATCAGCACCATGATGCAAACTTGTGGCCATAACATATACAGTATGCTGGAGAAGGCATAAAATGTCACTGTGTATATGTGTGTGTGTTTTATGTGTGTCCTTTACACTTCAACGATTGCTCCTCAACATGTCAAACAGACACCATGAGACTGTAGTCTAGTCTCCCTGCTTGATTCAGATGACAGCCGTTCCTTCTTCAATGAGACTGTATATTTACCCAAACTTATTATCTTTCCAGAACAGAGTGCTGATGAAGCCCGAACACACCAAACTACAAGTTATCACAAAATGCCAGAACTGTTGAGCATTAAAAAAACCTGACAGGGGAATATGGCCATCTATTTTATACAGTCTATGGTATAACCCGAGTTAATTAATAACTGGGATTTCGTCACTTACTCGTGTTTATAATTAAGTTGTGAGAAATGTTGCCTTAAGAAGCAAACAGTTTTTCTGTGGCAGCACACACCTGCACGTGTCTGATCTGATTTCAGGACGTTTCTTTCTCTAACGCATAAACTCTGCAGTCACATCGCTCGGGTCTGGCCAACTGAACAAAGTGAGTAGCGGCGTTGATCGCTACACACCGCGGCTCGGTGTGTGCATGTGCGTGTTGTGGGCCAATAGCCACTCAGTTACACAACTGCTTTCAGTTTCCGAGCCCTGCCTGCTCGCCTGGTGGTTCCCCGCCCACCGCTGCTCTCTGCTGCCTGCCTGCCTCTCTGCTGGGCGGACTGGGGCAGATCCGAGCCGACCAGTTCCGTGTTTCTCTGCTCACCCAGTTTACGGAGCAGACCGTACCGGAGGACCGGACAGCGTCACGGTGGACATTCCTGTCCAGCAGCGGCATCCGTAACTCCGGGGACGACGGGAAAGTGAGCGCGGAGGTGAGTAATGTCTTATTGCTGCTCATTATTTGTGCGCGGACGGAGAATCCATCAGCCGCCGTCGGTCGCGTTACGTTTCAGCCAAACTTTGACGCTACTGGCTGTCCCTCCCTCCCCCTTCTCTCCCCTGCTCCCCCCTGCTCCCTCCCTCCCCACTAACGCAAAGTGCGTCGCGCACACATGCGGGGATCGCGGTATGTTCACGCAAATGTATGCCTGGCGCTCCTCGTTTAAGGCCGTGACACGAATCTCCGCAACTTTTATCGTCGCTGCGATCCGCGCACCGTAGGTGTGCAATCGCCGAGCAGAAGCTGCGACGCGCTCGCGTTCGCGCGTGCGTCACACGTCCCACTGTGTCGCTGCAATGTGCGCGTGTCGTCCATTGATGTTGTTTTGACAAATGTGACGTAGACCGTGACGCGCCGTAACGATGAGATAAGCAGATTCTGCGTGTGTGTGAATAAATAACGCTCGCGCGTCTCTGTGCGCGTGCGCGCGCTCCTAATCTCGTCGGGTGGATTTCTAAGCTGCGCACTTGAGATTTTTCTAGCAAAAAGCGAGACGCGCTGCTGAGCGTGGAGTGGAGTACACGCTGTTTCCTCCGTGGACTTTGTCCGTGCAGCGAATGGGCTCCCTCAGTCCAGCACTGCACGCACACCTGACGTACACGCAGCACCTGAGCGTGCAGCCCGTGTGTCCGGGTTCCAAACTGAAGGAAGCGGCGTGAGGGTAAAGTACACCCGGGATGACGAGGAGTCACCGTCTTCCTAAACGTCGTCCAGTTGTTTCTCTTTGCAGTTCTGACCCTGCAGCACAGCCCGCATGTAACATCGTGTGATATAGCCGGGTGTGTGCAGGTGGTGGGCCCAAAGTTTGCGCTCAAACGCTCACTGCGTCCGTCTTTGAGCCAAAGGTGAGATTGGCTCAGGTGTCGGCTTGGTCAGTAAGCTGCATCCATATCGTCTATGCTTGTACACAAATGTGGCATAATTGTGTTATGCCAATAATTGCAGATGGTAAATGGGCTGGTTCTTATATCACGCTTTTCTACTCTGAGCACAACAAGCACTTCACACAACTTGTACATTCACCCATTTGCACAAGCACTTTTTTTCTATGCTGTTTCTAAGTGCTTCCTATCTAACAGTCACGCGCTGATGGATGCATCGGAGAGCAACATGGGGTTAGTATCTTGTCCCAGGATATTTGGCATGCAGACTGGACTTAAACCACCAACCTTCCGGTTAGTAGGTGACCTGCTCTACCACCTGAGCTACAGCCACCCCACAGAGCAGTCAGTCACGATATTAAAACCAGCTGTTTAATCCTGTGCAGGTCCCACTAGTACCGCCAAACAGCTCTGACCTGTCAGGACTCTCAACCTGGAGTTCTTTGGGACACGCGGGTTCTGGTGTGGGACTCTCACGAGTGCTCTATTGACTACTGGATACAGAGTGGGAGTGTTTCAGTGCAAGGTTAGCTCATTGTCTTTGAGCAGCTTTTTGCAGTGTGGGGCGGTGCTCGTGGTCCAGGTGAGGCGAAGCAGGTGCTGCTGGATTGTTGGTGTTGACGTCCAACCTTGTACTGTAAAACAACAACAAAAGGATCAGTGAATGGTTTTAATAATGTGGCTGATCAGCATTTGCTTTCCAGCCACTTTCATATGCCACATGTCTCCTGTAATACCTCTAAATTGGCACAAACCCATCCCACCCTTCGTGGAGTTATGTCTGAACTCAAATCATCACCTGAACATTATTATCCTCACCAAAAATCGCTTGAACTCTGACAGTTATTATGTATCAGGTGAATTTATAGCAAACATCACAGAAAGAACAAGAGTGCTGGATATGGTAAATATCTACAGCCTCCCCACACAAAGCAAACAGTTCATGCAGTAATTTGTATGATAATTTTTGTTTAAATGTTGTGTGGTTAACGAAGGGAATGAATCTGACATGAAAATGCTGATTAATTTCACATCCAGAGAGATTTACCAGCCATTTACTGTAATCACAGCACTGACACCCATCAGTTGTTTACAAAAGGGGGTATCCACAGTAAACATGAAACTTCAGAGTGGGTTTTGTGGTGACACCACATGATTAATATGCAGCTCGGTGTCTATATTTGAAGCAGGCAAGCCAAAATTCAGCCAGATCCATCAAAATGGGGATGGAATGGGGGCAAGTTGGAGAGGTTAGCTATTCATAGTTGGGGTAGTGCAGTAGAAATGGATGCATGTAGGTCAGAGCTGTCCTGCTGGGTGAATGATCACGTCACTGTTAGTTAATGATAACCACATTCATTATTAAGTGTGCAAATACAAGATGGCAGCTGAACTAGAAGTTTGTGCTTTTCTAGTAAAGTCCCATGCTTGCATTTTAGCCTAACAGTTCTATTATCATAAGCTTTCTCATTTGGATATGCAAATTGGGACAAAATCTATCAAAAGAGCCAGATGTGAACCTATCCTCAACTGTAGACATGGTTTGGAAATGACTGGATATTGCTGACTGTCCCTCTTTCAGTCTACTGACTTAAAATAGTTTGTAATAAAGAAACAGCCATGTAGAGGCCAGCAGGTCACTCGAGGCTGCTTACATGGTGTTGTGCAAGGGAGAAACAACAGAAAACAGGAAACATTGATTAAAGATCCAGATGAGGCAGAAGAGCTCCACTCCAGGCTCTGTGGGTGTTTGAAAAGCAGCACCACATGAGCCTCATCGAAAGCTGGTTAGGGCAGAGAAGATGAGGGGTCAGAGTTAGAGTTAATCATTAGGCTAGCTTTCAGGTGGTACCCAACCCCTAGCCCCCAACCCGAGCCCTAACCCTATTTGTCCCATCAATGTCAAGCTTTGAGAATAACTTGAGAATCGTTACATACTATTCTTATTACAAAGGGTTATGATCATCATCAGTGATGACTTAAACCTCAGGGGATTATGGCAAAGTACAGACGAAAGAAGAAACATTTCAAGGTTTATGGTTAGAGGTAGTTATAAAGGTTAAAGTGTGGGAATACTTAAGTTACTGCTTGCACTGATATCTGTATGTACCCAAGCGTTATAATACTGATTTATGAACTTATCAGAAACTGTGACTTAATCGTGTTTTTCTGACTCGCATCTCGTTGAAGACCAATGAGAAATGACTCACAAGGACAAAAGTAAGGTGAAGCTATTAGTCCCATAAAACCAATTTAAGATTATTCACCTTTGGTGAAGTTTTTGTTTTCACCACATTTTGAGTCACATTTTGAGTCACATGTTCCGTCAACAGTCAACACACGACAGGCTTCTCTTAAACACTCAGCCCTAATAAAGTGGGGTTAGTTTACTGTATGGGGAACTTCGTAGCTATCAGATTAAAAAAAAACTTCTCATTTTCTATAGAAGGAACTGAAAACAAATGATGGCTGCTTCTCAAATGTCAGGTGTCATTTGTGTCATATGTCATAGATACTGAGCATTGTAAATTCTAAATACCAAATGTCACGGTTCTGGGTCAGTTTGACCCAGCATTTTGAGTTGTTATGGTTTGGGGTTTTTTTCAATGATGGATTGTTCTTTATGTTTCTCTGGTGCTTTGTTGGGTTTTATGATGAATCTGTGTTTCAGTTATTTTGGTGTGTTTTTGCATTATGGATTGTTTTCTTATTCTCTTGTAGTGCTTGTGGTGGTGATGATAGATTATTATTAGTTTCTTGTTTCTGTTTATCCGTGTTTAAGGATTTGTTGTTTCGTGTATTGTTTGAGTTGCATGTGTTATATTCTGCCTGCCTCTCTGTCTGCGTCTTTGTTTAGTGGGTTCTTGTTTTATTGTGAAGGTCTGTGTCTCATGTGAGTGTGTTCAGTTCTACTGCTCCCCTGTCTCGTTAGTCCAATTTCTCCCAGCTGTGTCTCCCTCCTGTTTCTCATTCCCTGATTACCTCCCTGTGTATATAAGCCCTGTGTGTTCCTGTGCTCTTTGTCGCGTCGTACCATCAGATCATGCCTGTGTGTTGCTGGTTCTCAGTGTTCGTTGTTCTGTTCATGTTTTGTGCTTTGCCAGCAATAAAGCTGTGGTTTTCTGTTGACATTTGGCTTCACGAGTCCTGCTTTTGGATCCTCACCTCCGCCTGCCGCACACAGAGCCCTGACACCAAATGAGGCAGACAGAGGAAACCAACAAAAGAAAAGTGTAAACAGACCCTCAAGGGCCAAAAACCACTTGCACATGGTTAACTGGAGGAGTAATGTGGTAGAACTGTATGTCAAGTGAACATAACCATCAAATAGAAAAAAGGAAATCTATTTTTCCTTTTGAATTTCTTCAAAACACAGGATAAGATGTAAGGTTAGACCAAACCCTAACCCTTTGGTGGGTGAGAAACCAACTGGTTAAATTCACAGTTAGGAACTGTGTGTAGAATAACTGAAGGCTGATTTAAGGCCTAGCAACTAGCTTTCGCAAGGTGCTCAGTTCCTTTCATACATCGTTTTATTGTGTTTGTGCAGGTTCTCAGTCATCCTGGTCTTTATTAATCTTGAGGGCTTGAAATGAAGATAAAGGCAGCATCGCTTCTCTTTTGTTTGTGAAGATGGAAGGACTCTTGGATGAGAGGTAGAGCGTCTTCACAAACCAAAAAGAAGTCCAGCTGCTTTTATTTCAACCGCTTTAGGTATTGTGTTGTATCTTGTGTGAAGATTCGTCCTTTGAAAGTATTTAATTTGGGTTATTTTAATATTATCTTTATTTTGTTTAGAATTTTTGAAGATGTCTGTTAAAGCCATCAAGCTCTTTCCTCTTACGATGTATATGGGTGGAGATTTCTGGAAAAGTTTACAGCACTAAAACTGTTCTTCTTCTTCTTTTAGGCTTTCCTAAAGTCAATCCGGTTTCTAATCAGAGCTCCACTTTCCCATCCGTTGCAGGACTGCTGGTTCTTGAAGTCTCTGAAGGTCCTTTTTCATGATTCTGACTGCATAATCGGGCTCGCTGTCCTTCTGCAGATTGAATTTGCTTGATTTTAAAAAGTTGCCTAAAACTTTTGCACAGCACTATTTTCAAATCCATCGACACATTTCCCCCCCAACATAAATTTTTGTTTTTGATTTTCTTTAGGTTACTTCATCATGACTTAAAGGATCATTACGCTGTCCGCGTCAAGAGTAAAGACCACAGCGACGCCACCAATGGTGAACAATCTGATTATGCAGAAGACTCTGAACTCTCTGTAGCTCACCTGGGAAGCTCCATGGATTAAAAAGGTCACTTTACCAAAGTCAGGGAGGAAGACGTGACGCCCGCTCTTTGGGAGTTCTGTGCCTGAAACAGGATCACATCATCTGGACGAGCTTTTTGTATTTTCTGTTCATTTGGAGTAATATGGTTCATGGAAGATGGAATAAAATATCAGTGGGAGTTATTCCTAAACAAGGACTGACTGCAAAATTCAAGAATGGAGCAGGATTTTACACAGTAGGATCTCGTATCTCATATCAGTTGTGGATGGTGTAGGTTCCTTGTAGGTACTACCCTGGACACGGTGGATTTTACACACAATTCATCTACAAACATCTGAAGTGCAGCAGGCAGTATTTGTCTGTAACTGGAAAAGTCTTCCTTTTCTCACTGTTGTAAATGGACGTCTGAGCCTTCTAAAGCTAGAAGGGGATATTTTCCATCTTCTGTTTGGTGTCTCACTGTTGGCAAAAACAGGGAAAGCCCTCCAAACATGTCCGGTACGGGAAGGAAGCACTTGGTCAGAGACTTTAACCATTTCATCACCTGCTACCTGTGTCGAGGTTACCTGATTAAACCGACCACAGTCACCGAGTGCCTGCACACATGTGAGTCAAAATAACACGCAGCAACACACAGAGGTGACAGTAGGGGTGAAAATCCATCGAGGTAGTGGGACCAAACCCAGACCGATCTAAGGTTACACGTAACCCTGACCAAACTTTAAAGAGCCGTAAAGAAGCAGGGCAGGGCTCAGTCAAAGTACAGCTGCTGTGTATGACAGGTGTGAAATGAAGAAAAGTACAGATGTTCAAACTGTTGATCCGCCTTGGTGTCATGCTCATGTCAGACTTAATTAATAAGTAAGTTACCACTGATGCGAGCAAATGTACCCAGCTGCAAGTGTTAGAGCAGAGACTCCTACAGAAAGCTAGAAGCTTCAAACACAGTGTCACTTCCTGCTGTTCCTGTTTTTCAAACCCAGAATTACAGCTACCATAGTTCCAGTAAAATTCTACTTTGACAGACTATTTGAAGTGGATGTGAAATTGTAGAGCAAGGTGAATGAGGCAAATGAGCTGTGAAGCATCGGAACCGATGTCGGCACTAAAACGCAGACAAAGTCTGACGTTCAAACTGCAGGATTTCAGTTTTTTCATAGAGAGATTTGGAGGCTTCCCCTTTTTCAACATGAGACTAGTTTGGGCGGTTTGAGAGTGTGCAGCAGATCGTGACAACCTGGTGATTGTCAGTGGCTTAGAAAGCTGAAATACCAGCTCGAAACAAGGCAAGCCAACATGCTGCCCCAAAAAAACCTCAATGACAAGGCAAAATGATGGTTTCACAGATGAACAGCTCATTTCTCTACCTCTCTCTCTTTTATTCTGAATGACCTTTTAAAAGATGGCTTTACCTGCCTTAACCTAGAGCAGAAGCTCATTTTGAATATGTTTCTTTTGCAGTCTGTAAGAGCTGTATTGTGCAGCACTTTGAGGAGAGCAATGACTGTCCTAAATGTGGCATTCAGGTCCATGAGACCAACCCACTGGAGATGCTCAGGTAACTTTGGCTACATAACATGTTTTTCTTCTCTCACTTTATCTGTTTTTTTTTCCTGTCATTGGCATGTTGGACAATTTGTATTTCTTTTTATTTAATCTTGAAAGAGCTGCAAAGTTTTGGAAATGACAGTTTTAAGAGTTTCATTCTTCTCTGAACTTCTTGTTGTTTTTCCATTATTCAATTGTACTTTTCTACATTTTGCTTTTGTGTGTATTTCAACAGCCCGAGCTACTGATTTTCTCTCTTCTATTCTCTCCTTTGGAAACTTTTATTCCTGCTTGACCTCACCTGATTGCTCCCTTCACCTCCACCATTTAACTTCTATTGCCTACTTTAATTTCTTGTTATCCCCCAATGCATCATCCCCTCCACCTCCTTCTCACTGTCATATTCTCAGGTTAGACAACACCCTGGAGGAGATCATTTTCAAGCTGGTACCCGGACTCAGAGAAAGTGAGTTTGCCAGATGGTTTCATCAATCTGTCGCCTCAGTTTGCAGTCGGTGTTAAATTATGTGACTATTCATGGGAGGTCGGGAAAAGAATTTACAGCAATCCCATCACACAAATCACTGGAAGACTAAGGCTTGCAACCAGTTTTAATGAAATGCACAAATTGCCTCCAGCATGCACTCTAGCAAACATGATGCTGCGTCTTGGTGGATTGAAAGCAGTTTAAAAAAGGAAAGAGTTACAGTACACCATCAGAAATGCTTCCAAAACACTAAAACTGTAACTTTTCAGAATTTAATTTGCAGCAGCAATTATCGCTGTCATTGTTTTAGACATATCTTGCATACTTTTGTCCCCTTTCAGTTTGATTTTTCTCTAATACTCATTCTCTTTAGTCTGTAAACATGTTCATTTCTGCTGTAAAGTTGGACATTTTTGACCTAAGGTTCACTTTTACGGCCAGTCGCATGTGGAGAAGCCAATCATTTGTCAGCATCACATTATTTCCAGAGAGGTGGAAGCTCAAACGTTTAAAACTAGATGAAGATGTACAGCCTTCTCTCTGTGGCAAGGCCAACGGGAAGCCAAGTCAACATGTCTAACTAAAGTGGTGATGGCACTATAATTTTATTGCCCCATAACTTCACCTCAGCTGATAGAGCACTCTGGCAGCAGAACGATGGAACAAACGTCATATATTTTTGTAGCTTTCGGGCCTCTCGGCCAAATGGTGTAAAAGTCAGCGTCCTATGAATCCTCTCGTATGGTCTACAGAGAGAAGACTGTGGACAGCAGACAAGGGTTTTGGTTTTTATCTGTCATGTAGATGGTGATGGTACAAGCACAGCATTGCTGTTCACAGTAAATAATAATGAGCTTTACGTTACAATGCTGTTCTATCCGGATGGTGAACTACCGTCTAGGTGTTAAGAGATTCTGAGTATGAAGTCTCCAGGCCCACTGACGTCTTAAATGTGCAACAAAGACAGGAAGAAGATAGGAGTTTTGTTGTCCCTGTTGCTAGTAAGCTGGAAATCATGCCTGGAAATTCTACTCGACATAAAAAAATCCCAGAGGTCACAAAGAGCATCGAGACTTAGCGATACAACGTAAGCACAAGTGAAGTTTACCAGTGTCTCCAATTATGCTACCTGCTCTTCACCCTGGTGGCCCGAGTGCATTGTCTGGCTAATGTTCAGAACGCTCAGCAGACATCAAAGCAGATCTGGATCTGCTGGATCTGGATTTAAACCAGAGGCAGCAAAACTGGTCTGTTGGCCAGCGTAAAAAGTGAAGGTGTCACGTCAGATTAAGAGGCGACAAATGGGCTGTCAAAAGGGAATTAGAAGAAGACTTCCAGGCTGTTTTGAGGCGATATGAATATGAGGGTGCCTGTAAATTTTGGTGATAACACAACAGTGACCACTGTCTGGTACCAGGCGGCCTGGGTTCAACTCCCGGTGTGGGAAGAGCCAATATAGCAAATTGTCCTTAATGAAGGGTGTTTGAGATGTTAGAATACGCTTCAATTGAGTGATAAAATGGCCCTTTGAGGCTGACAGCTAACTTTAATTATGGCAGTTATGAGCACATCACAGCAGGGCTCGGTTTGATGTGTCCAGGAGAAACGCAGAGACTTAAAATAAATACATTCCCAGCTTTTCTTCTCTCAAGCAGCTTTAAAATTGGTGCAAGTGGCTCATTTCTCTTATGGCAAGACAGCATATTGACCTTTTTCACAGCAGGCGTTCTGACATGTCAAAGCATGCATAGAAAAGAGGCTGCATTGTTTTTTGGAGGAGGTCCTTGTATCACTGGAATGGCTGGAATAACCAATCCATTGTTATTGTTATTAATTACACCCGCTTTTCCTGCTGTTAAAGGCCAACTGTTTGCTATGAAAAGCTTTTATTGTGCAAGTAAAATAGTTTTGTAAGCTTAGTTAAACTCCTCCTAGGAGCTTCAGTGAATCAGTTTTATGAAAAACAAAAGTCTAAATTTAGTACAGGAGAAATGTAGCTGTTTGATCCCAAAACTCTTAACACAGCGTAGACAGAATTCAGTAACCGCGATGTTAGAATCACCCATCCTCTTCTGATGGATTTGGTCTCTATGATTGCTTCATACTTCATTCTACTTTTGTTTTTTCCTGTCAATTAGAAGAGGAACAGCAAGAGCTCGAGTTCTGGAGGAAGAACCAGCCCAAAGAAAACGGCCAAGGTAAGCTGGACCCAACAAAACCCTTTATATAGTAACAGTAACACTTCATAATAAGCCCGCAGCCAGGGGTGTAATTCCCCTGTAATTAAATTAATTTTATTATAAATTTGAATGCAGTTATACAAATACATAAAGTAGGCACTCTAGAATAATTATTTACTTATTTATTTCATTAAATATAAATATTGAAAAGTACAGTGTGCCTATGATGTAAGACTGGGAAATTTTGTTTGTTTTTACACAAAATGACACACTACTTACAATTACGCTGTACTTAAAATGAATCATGCTTTATGTAAAATGACACATTACTTCAAATTACTTACACACGTGACTAAAATTGACTTACAGTATAATTATTTCTTTGTTTTTTTATTTATAAAAACCTGACTTCTTACCCCCTTTTTGAACTGTACCTACCTGTAAGCATTAGTAGGTAAATATAATTACGCTGTCATTTCAAATAAAACACATTAGAATTCCATTAAATTACAGGAGATTTCCACTGTGTCACAGATTTCTCACCTCGTGTATTAGAGTGGGTGGAGATGACTGAAATAGGAACACTGTCATATGCAGTGTAAAGAATTTGCCATGTAGGGGGACGGGTGGCTGCGTCGCCTCTGTGCCTCTCACACCTTTTCTTTAAAACTGGCAAAAAGGAAAAAAAACCATGCCATGGAGGAAGGAAGCCAGTTGTGGTTGTTGCATCTTACTCAGATTGTCTGCATGCTTGCTTTCATTATTAGAGAAGAAGCTCTGTAAAGAAGGGGGGACTTTTTTATCAAGTTTTGATACATCAGCAGGGAATTTTCTTGTCAGACTTCGTACCCCCCTTCACCACATTTTTCAGTGCAAACAGAGCTCGTGTTTACAGACATTGACCAATGCACCAATGCATCAGGTTCAAGTTAAAGAGAAACAACCCATATGGAAAAGAAATAGTAAAAACTTATAAAAGACTTGCATAAGATGTGGCCTATTCATATAGTGAATCATAGAAGGCTTATATGATTTACTCGTGAAAGCAGCCCCTTTCTCATTACTTTCATATATTGTTTTAGGAAGTATCCAAAACATACAAGTTTCATTTATATAATTTTTCAAGGGATCTTATATCTGTTTTCACTCTTGTGTAATACAATGTGTATGTGTATGTGTTAGTCCCCATAGGGAAATAGTTCCTCTGCATTTAACCCATTCACCCAGTGAAGCAGTGGGCAGCCACCAATGCAGCGCCCGGGGAGCAGTGTGTAGGGACGGTACCTTGCTCAGGGGTACCTCAGGGTAGCCGTTCAGTGGAGTTGAACCCCTGACCTTCCGATCATGGGGCCACCACTCTACCTACTGAGCTATCCCTGCTCTATCCACAACTAACATCCTTAACCTGCCTGTAGAAAACCTGAGGTGTCCACGGTTCGGGGTCCCGGATGCTGGAGGCGACGCTGGTGATGGTGGAGGCAATGAGGCGGACGGTGCCGGCGATGACGACTATCACAGGAGTGACCCACAGATCGCAATCTGCCTGGACTGCTTACGCAACACAGGACCGTCGGGGGAGAGCACGGTCACGGTGTGTGTTATTTTACATATAACCTTTAATTAAGAAATATTAAATACTTGCACTGAAACACAATATCACCTTGTTTTGGTCCTCTCTATGATGTAAAACGGTATTCCATTTCTTTGCTGCTGTATGTGTTGGTAATGTTTCCAAACTTCACGGGTGCTTGGTGCATAATCCCCTGTAAAGATGTAATTGTGTTTTCATGTCTTTTCCTTTAAAAACCTGCAATTATGCCTCATTAAATCAGTGTGTAAGAGTTATTCTCTCATCCAATTAGGATTTGATGAAGAGGTTCATCCGCTGCTCCAGTAGAGTCACCGTGGGAACAATTAAGAAGTTTCTCAGTCTTAAACTAAAGCTGCCGAGTTCCTACGAGGTATGGAGCACACTCTGTCCTCCTGTTTTCATTCATTAAAATATGTGTGTCATGATTCAAAGGCATGTTTTTCTTTACTTAACCACACAAACTCAGAGTTATCTTTCAAGTTTTCGGTTGATTGGTAGGATTACCTTCGTGGGGCTTGATTGTTGGATGTTGAGCAGTGATGGTCATAAAGCTCTGCAGCTCTGCCCATAAAAGGCAAAAATCATACTTGAGTTTGAGTTTGACTGGTCTCCCCTTCAGGGTCATCTCCCCGTGCACTTCTGGAGCACCTTCAGCACTCCTGCAAGTGCTCAGTCCCCTTCTGACCACCTGCACTTGAGTTTCTGAGCTTTCACCATAGATCTCAAACAGAGCAAAGAAACGTTACAGTGGCAAACTGAAACTTTTAGAGGCTTAATTTGGCTTCCTGGAAAAAAATAAATGAAATCATGGGGTTTTTTTCTTTATGGCCAGAGTTGCAAAAATCACTCCACTTTGAATATTTACAGGGTTAAACTTACTTCATAATGTAATGAAGTTACTTTCTTCACTACTTTGGGAGGGCTGACTAGAGTGTAGGGACCTCTTTATCTAAGGGAACCTTTTAGGAGATGTCTGTCCTAACTGTACCTCACATTATTACTTTGCTCAAACAGTCTTCACGCACATTTTCCTTTTTTCTTTGTACACATAAACACAAGAGTTACCACAAAAATGGCTTCCCTCTGAGAGACTAGGGTCCACTCTTTGGATCTGTGGTGCATAGAGTCATGGATGTCTTCTTCTCAGCCCACTGTAATTCAAAGAAATGCTGAAATGCGGTGCTTTCCGGCCACATCACAGATCTGTTTTAGTTCTGATCTACTACAGTTCTACTACAGTTAGTGGGACCTGACGGTACAGGTGTTGTCACACATTCAGGGTGTGAAGTCTGACTGTCAGAGGCTGACTGTCTCTGACGAGGATCTGCTGGAGGTTTCTTCCTGTTAAAAGGGAGTTTTTCCTTCCCACTGTCACCAAAGCTCTTGCTCATAGGGGGTCACCTGATTGTTGAGGTTTTCTCTGTATTGTTGTAGGGTCTACCTTAAAATAAAAAGCGCCTTGAGGCGACTGTTGTTGTGATTCAGTACTGTATAAAAATATGGTTGGATATCATTAAAAAATGCAGTGCAGGCACAAAAGTTAAAGTTGCAACATGCTGAAATTCCATTGTATAAAAAGGAAAATGATGCATGTATTTGGTAGCATAACTCTGACTTGTTTAACCAACAGCTGTACTGTGTTACATATAAAGTGCAAAATGCTGGAGAGTTCAGTTCAACATAATGAAGATTTAGTGGATTGCATTAAAACAGCAGAGAAACAGCATGTGGTCAAATATGAAGCCAAACTCTGACCAGGTTAACAGTTCGTAGCCAGATGCTCATTACTATTCCATGCAAGCTATGCTATCATCTGCCAGCTTTAGCAAAGGATTAAGAAACTGTTAGCTTCCACATTTGGAGCAGGCCGAGCTAAAAGTGGTATCACACACTCACACTCTCATTTACACACTCACATATTCAGAGAAGCCTCCCACTCACCACCACAGTGAACTTCCCCTCTCCTTTCATCTCTCGTAGAAGTGAGAGCTCAGCTTTTGTTTTCGTTCGTCACCTTCTCTGTCTGGGAGGCAGCTTGGGCAAAACTTTGTGACTGTAACCGCTTCGTTAAAAGCTGTTTGTGTTTGTTTTGGACTTGTCAAAGCGTCCTTCTTATGTATTTTCCTTCTTGTGTTTGCAGCTGGATGTTCTGTGTAACGGAGAGATCATGGGCAGAGATCACACTCTCGAGTTCATCTACATGACCCGATGGAGGCTACATGGAGAGAATGTAAGGCTGTCACGTTCACTTCCTGTTCATGTGTGAGTGTTTGCATCCTCGTGTGTAGATGCATCGCTGCAGGAAATGTTTGTGTGCACGCGTGCGTCTGTGAATCTTACGCATTCATGCACTTTAGTGAAAGCATGCGGTCCTGGTTGAATGACTTGTATATTCAGTGTGAAATGCTTTTCCAAAGGAGCATTTCTGTTCAGAGAAGGTGTCAGATTGTGAAAAAGGAAACTCGAGACTTTTTGCAACATAAATTTATGGTGTTGGTACAGAATACTGATGTTCAAGAGACGCCCGGTTTGAATAAAAGATTCGCCTCTCATGTAACATTTCGACATTTCATCTTTACCTCGGTTTGCTAAATTTGAGCCACGTCCATCTCCTCTTAGAGGCTCGGGGTTACTCTGCATCCTGTTTGGTTTTTGTTAAGGTCACTTTGCAAAGTGAAGTCAGTCATATCTGCATGTTTAACACATGCTTAGTAATGACAGTCAAAACAGGAAAAGCATTACTGATGATAAAAGAGATTCTGTGCACCACATTTATTTTGTGCATAAGAAGGTATATTTCTTCTTCACAGCCTTTTTATATCTACAAGAGGAGACAGTGGGGTTGTTTTTAGGTCACGTTCTTACCACCAGGATGTCAGAGACCCCTCTCTATGGTTAGGGCTCACCAAAATGCAGCTCTTATAACAGAAGACATGCAAAATAACACGACTTGTATAATGTCGATAACACAGGTAACATTATCTGCTTTTTGAAATTTGGCTTATTTAACATGTGGCTAAAAGCCATAATTCACTTATTTAATAAATGCTGGATTGATTTGATTAGACGTAAACAGCGCAGTGTCAAAGGAAAAGCTTTGTGTCAGTTTAGATCCACTAAAAGGCATTAGAGTTGATTTGTGGTTCTGCATAGTTCCCAGGTGAATATTGCTGAAAAAGGCAGATTAGCTCTGTGAGGCCAAACCTCTGATGTTTTGGAGAAAGACAAAAAGGAAGGAAAGAAGTTTCTGATGTGTGGAAGAAGAATTTCATAAAAACAAAATTTATACTGTGCAAAAGTTTTAGGCAAGTGAGAAAAACATGTTAATCATTTATTTTCATCAATCAACAAAATGCAGTAAAAGAACAAACGAGAAATCTAAATCAAATCTATACTTGCTGGGACCACCCTTTGCCTTCTTCTAGGCACACACACAGTTTTTGAAGGAACTCTGCTCGTAGGTTGTTCCAAATATCTCAGAGCACTAAGCACAGATCTTCTGTGGATGTAGGCTTCCTCACATCCTTCTGTCTCTTCATGTAGTCCCAGACACACTCCATGATGTTGAGATCAGGGCTCTGCGGGGGCCGTACCATCACTTCCTGTACGTCTTGTTCTTCTTCTTCCTCGCTGAAGATAGTTCTTAATGACTTTGGCTGTGTGTTTGGGGTCGTTGTCCTGCTGCAGAATACATTTGGGGTTAATAAACAATCACTTATATTTCTGAAAGCTTTCTTTGTTTACAGCATTTTTCACACTTGCCTAAAACTTTTGCACAGTCCTGTATATTCTTATTGCCACAGGTTATGGTTAGAGGTGCATGCATCAAGTAACATGAAGTAGAAATAGAGGGTGATTTCCAAAAGTAAATCTTATTATTATACCTGGCTTAACATAAATATGTTCAGCAAAGTTACAGGAAATGTAAAAAATCAAAGTTTAAGGCCTTTGTTTTATTGATTTTTTTGACTATTCAGTCTGAAAATAGGAACGCTTTAAAATGCTTCCAAAAAATGCCGATGTCATGATGTACATTAACTGACACACACACACACACACACACACACACACACACACACACACACAAAGCAGGACTTGTCACTCTGAAACGTGCTGGTACTCTCAGCCTTGGGCTTCAGGGTCATCAGTCCTGTGACGGTTCAGCGAGCCAGTGTGTCTGCCTTTGATCTACAGTAATTGTGCTGACTTGTGCATGAGTGGCTGTGTATCTGTTTGCACGGGTGAGTATTTGCATGAACTTCTACTGCTACTGAAAGCTCCCGTCCATTTCTGGATGGTAACTAATGAGTGCAGGCAGCTGGCACAGCAAGACGCTTCAGATACCGGGTCAGGTGGAACTGAGAAGGAAAGGCAGCAGGAAGGAAGTCAGTATGAAATGACAAACTTAGTAAGCGTGTAGCTTTTCAGCTCCAGCTGAGTGTCATCATGTCCTCTACAAAGTCCGCCTGCCGCTGAGCTAAAATGTCTTTTTTGGATCTGTTTCACTGACTAGTCAGAGAGGACGGAAAAGAAAACAGAATTATTTTTCCTTCTCATTATATAATCGTGTCGCACTGTGACCGGAAAGCTACGCAGGCCAAAGTTGCATTGAGTCAACTTTAAATGAGTCCCAGCAGAATTCGGATCCAGTCTAAACTCAGCACATGCCAACCCTGAGGAAGATGGCGTCTCTGCTGCTTTATTTTCCAGCAACGCAGCTTTTTTGAACCTATTAATCCAGCTTGATTGGACATCCGTCTTCTTTACTAATGTTACAGACTGTTTTATTGTGCACAGATTGTCAGAATTGCAGGTCACGTCTTTTTCCATCTGGGCCTTTTTCCCATATGGCAAATTATCCGCACAGATTATGAACACATGGTTATTACAGGATTTAGGACAATTAAACAAATCATTAAAAGAGTGCTGCTTTGGAGAGTGCAAATAGAACAAAAAAGATTTTTCTGTTACGTAAACTTCTACTGAAAACATCTTGAAACCACAGATAAGAGTGAGGATACTTAATCTCTTCGGTCAGTCCTGTTCCAGTGCTTATTTACCAATCATCACAAAGCACTTGGTGGTCTCCCCTCTGTCTCCACTGTGAGTCTCTGTGTAGTAAATGTGGCCTCGGTGATACAGGAATTGCCACAAAGGTGGTTTTGAGTACTTTGGCAGGACTCGTTTCATAACTCATCCTCACGATACTTGATGAGGCACCTAAAGGGAGCAGCCAAAGAAGAAAAGGTTCATGCTCATGGACGTGAAGTTCTCCCTCACTTACCTGAACACCGTTTTTCATTCTATTGCTTTCATATTTATTGATTTGTGTCTATGTGTCATAAGGTGTGATACAGTCTGGATGTAGAGGCACGAGTACTTTGCCAGCAGCGTAAATTATTTCTCCAATTAACTTTTTTTTATTTCCTTCACACCTTCTTACTAAACCCACTCAGGTTTAGGCAGTAAAATCACTTGGAAGGATTAGAAAAAGATCACCGCTTGGTTAAAATGTTGTCACCCTTTAAAAATGTCCACCTGCACGCAACGTTTCAGCAGCAAGAGCTAAGTGAATGTCGTCCGTCCCATGAGTCCTGAGTAAAAGTGCTAGATGCAGTGGGACCAAGTGTGGATTTGATAGAGTTAATGGATCTGGAAAGCCAGTCCAAAGCAGGGAGACCGAAGGAACTGGAAGACAAGAGGCAGGCTGGTTGGTCCATGACAGAAGTCATGCACATGGAGAAATGAGTTAAAGTTTATATAAGGATCGGTGATGATGAGATGATGCCAGGGGAAGACCATCTCTGAATCGAGGAGGGGGTCTAAGGGTACATCTGTCACCATCTTACAATGCTGTGCAGCCATTCCCCAGCTCTCTGTGAATGGGACTCATGGCCATTGATCAGTGGTTGTTGATCAATGGTCATGAGAATTTGCATAATTAAGATTAAGGAACTGACCTCCCAGCCCTTTGTTTCCTCAGTGGGCTGGTTTCAGTCATTATGCAAATGTACTGTTTCTAAGATTGGAAACCTGCAGTCAGCTGACACTGAAGAAGTCACTTGGATGAAACGTTTCTCCCACAAAACGCTACGTCCAGATGAACAGAATCAACTTTTGGAGATTTACTTACCTGGATGATTGAGCGTGCATCAAGATACTTTAAAGATTGATAAAACAAACACACAAACAGAGCAACGAGAGGCAAAGCAACTGTGGAAAAAGGAAGAGGACACTACAGTTTAAATTCTCATAGACTTACCATCCATAAATACATATTGTAGGGAACAGACCAGGGAGAGCATAACATGGGCCTCAGATGACTCAGTCGCAGTATCCCATCCTAGTAAGGACTCAGTTATCAGTTAGGTTGTTGTCACTGATCGTAGTTTAGTTCAAATAAAGTTTTTCCTTCTTAAAATGTTTTTTTTTAAATCAAATCACTTTTTGTCCTTTTTAGCTCAGCTTTAATCAGTGGTTTAATCAGACTATTTAATCTCTTTGAAAACATTTAGACGTGGAGCTCAAAATATTCCACAGTGAAATAAAACACTTGGAGTATCCCCAGAATACACACTGACTCCAGGTCAGCGCTCAGAAATTGAAAGCATTCAAGCCAAATGTAAAAAGAAAACATGTTGAGGGAAAACCTCTCACATGACATCAGGAGCCACATTTTCTATCTCACCTCCGCCCACCGCCCCGATGCTCCACAACAACAGACAGAAGTCTGTCCGTCAGAATTATTTATGCCCTCGCTGGTGAGTCATGAGGATAAACAGCCAGAAATTATTTTTGAATCCTGTTTGAACCCTGTCTGGTTAAGGAGAGGGATGACAGCGAGAGCGAGATAGATGGATACAAAGCGCCAGAGTCGGGAATGGAGGCAGAAGTCGGACAGAAAAAAAGATACGAGCCATTCATCAGTCTCATCCTTCTGACAACTCTGCAGCTCGGCTTCATTTTCTCCCTCCGATTTAGAGGCCGGTCAGGACGGATCCGCTCACACGGGAGCAAAGGAAAATCAATCTGTAACCTCCCGGGATGTCATTAAATCAGGAAACCGCTTTCTGGCTGCCACCGTGGTGACTTTTAAAAACACAGGACTGAAAAACGTTTACGAAAAATACTCTTAATGTACACGCACTGATGTCTGTTATTAACAAATGGTATTTAATTATGTTGCTAAGCACTAAAATCTCTGCTTACTCTGGTTCATTTCTGTTTAAATGAGTCAGATTGGACTATATGAAGGCACCAAGTCACACACTATTAATCAACGGCTAATCTTTATCCACAGATAAAGATTCCTATGAGGAATTAGAGCGCTTTATTAAAGGATTTTAAATCCATGAAAAGCACCATGCTAATCTAAAACACTTTGCATATTTACCAATCTTAGAATCTTAAAGTTGGAAAAATATGTTAAACTGCACCTAAAAGTATGCAAAACTCATCTGTGGTGTACAATTGGCCAAGAATCAAAAATCAGTGTGTTGTGTCATGTGATCAAAGTCTTAACAGTAGAAGACGGGGAGAGGCAGATGGTGATGGCGAAGAACTGTCCACATAAAGTGTCCAAACAACAGACGTCCAGTCTCTGAGTCATGATGACTAAACACAGCTGCTCCAGATCTGGAATTTGGCTCTGATATTTAGAAAAGTGTTTGCCGTTTTTTTAAAATAGCAAACGCAAAATGTGTTTCTGGGGTTGGGTAGAGTCACAGACTAAAGCTGCAACGCAGATGTTCCATCTCTCCTGCAATCAATTCACCTTGTTAAAGCACATTTCGAGAGCTGGCACCGTGCGTGCAGAAGCAGGGAAGCATTTGGGCCGAATGATGGAACTCAAGTGTGAAACCCAAAACGTATTCCTCAAACATCTTCATGCATGTTTTCTGCATCCAGAAAAAGCTGAGCTTATTCAGCCCCCACCGTTTGGACTCTAAAGAAAGTTTACAGCAGAAAGAAATCTGACTGCCTCAACTTTGTGTTGTTGTGGGACGATATTAACCCTCTGAGGTGACGGTGATGACCCAGCACTAACCGTAACTTCGATTCTGAGCAATCAGAGGATATGTCATCTTGTTTTCTCATGAAATTGTTCTCTAAAGTCTTGGAGAAAAGAAAATAGTCATTCTAACAAACATATTAAAAGCTATTAACAAAAAAGAGTCATCTTGGGCCTTCTCCAAAATATAGGATTAGGGTTAGCACCTGTGATGTCTTAGACCTTGGATCAGAGGAGGCATCTGTACCGGAACAGCAGAGATAAGAACTTAATTTATTCTTGGAAAAGTCTCTTACACCTAAAATAAAACTGCAGAGGCGCCCTACTGGGCAGTAGTGCAGAAATAAATCTCCTGGTATATTCAATTACAAGAAGGCATCGGACCAAAATGTCCTAAAAATAGACACAGCATTATTACTTAGTATTTAATACACTGTCCATGTGGTACAGTGAGGAGCAACACAGAAACAACTGTAGTTCGATGGCAGCACATGTGAGTTTCACCATGTGTAGTTCCTTTGAGTGTCATGATCCTAATGTTGGGGTGAAGCTCTGCAGAGTGGTCGGCTGACACATTATAAATCAAAGAGTTTCTAAACTATTTAAAGAAACTTGTTTCATCCCATTTGAAGTCACATTAGATGCAATCGTGAAGTTCACGAACCCAAAAAACAAAAACCATCCTAGATTGAAACTGGGTCGTTTCCCACTTCAGCTCCAACTGGGCAAATATTCAGATTCCAATTATCAATTTGATTTTAAAGATTATGAAAACAAAATACTCCCAATAAAACAATTATCTTTTGTTTCTTGCTGTTCTTATTGTTACATACTGCACCTCCTCCATAAAAGATCTTCACAAAGAATGATTATTAAAGATTATTTTGCCTAATTGCCCAAACTTCTTTTACATCCACATGCAGCCTACTTTGATCTTATGTGGGCTGGACTGGAATATAAGGAAAAGAACAGTTTCTAATAAAGAAATATTGCTGTAGTAAAATCATCTATCAGCACAACTCTTTAGGCTTCAATTGTAAGTAGTGTATGTATAAAAAGTAATAGAAATCTGTTACTCTGTTGTAGTAAGAATGGTCATGTGGAAGATCTGTATTAGCAGGAAAGCAAAAATACTGTAAAAAGTCCAAAATTTATGTCATCTTTCACATTTTCCAAAGCCATCCACTGGTGCAGGTTGGAGTCTTCGCCAGCTTGTCTTCAGCCCTGGGCCTTATGTTTGACACCCGTGGCCTGAGGTACAGGTTCAAACTCCAGCCCTCGAAGTCCTGCAACCTGGTGCAACACACCTGAATACAATTAGTAGCTCATTAGCAAGTAGCTCAATGGCAGTTCAGCCATTTGATTCATGTTACAGCAGCTCATGAGATAATCAACATGGTGCAATAAAAGTACTTTTAGAAGTACATTTTTCCAAACACTTACATTTGCTTATATTTACTTGAGTAGCGTTGGGGGTTGCCACCTCAGCATGCAGTCAAGTCTCGGTAATGACCTACTCATTTTATTCAGGTGTGTTGCAGCAGAGACACATGTGAAAGTTTCAGGACACCGGCCCTCGAGGACTGGAGTTCGCCACCCCCGGCTTAGGGTGATCACTGCCTCTGACAGTGGAGACGCTGCTTGTCCTGTCAGAGTTAAGGTTGGCGTTGGGCTGGTTTAGGAAATCCCTGATGGAAAAGAGTTAAGTTCTGTCATGGTGTCTATGCCAGTGAGTAATCAGGTTACAATAAGATTATAATATTTAGCAAAGCAAATGATTATTGCCATATGGTTTGCTGACCTTAATTTGAAGGTCTGCAGTTGTCACTTTGTTTCCTGGAAGTTCAGCTCTGAGAATGAACCTTTGTGATCTGTGATGTGATAGCTTCTCCAGTGTGTCTGAGAGCAGAATTTCAGTCTCAGGGGGGCAAATCTGATGAGCAGGGCAGGTGTTTCCACTGAATGACCTTCACACGCTTCAGGATGGTACGGTGGAACTCAGCTTTGACTGACCCCAGGTCTGAGTGCCAGTTTTACATTTACAGTCTTTGTCATGAATAAATAACAGTGTCGGTCTCAAACATCCGTCTTTGGGTTAACAAGGTCTTATCTTTGATCCACACATGATGTGGATCCTGGATATTGTCTGGTTTTTCACTCTGGTTGCATTCAGACACAAGTATCTACAACAAGATAACATAAAATTATTACAGCTTTCTGGTAAATATGTTGATATGTTAAATATTAGGAATCTTCAGACTTGCCATCAGCTGCAAGCACAAGGTATGAAATTCAAGTGGGAGCTTCTCATTGGAGAAACCGTCTGAAAGCAATTTATCGATCAACATGTAGATTGATGGATTTATATTGTGATGATTTCATGATTAGCTGTGAGACCGGGCTGGAACAACCTTGCAGACTCAGCACAGCGTATGTATTTCTGCAGTGTAATTGCACTGTATGGAGACAGAAATGCTGAGTGAAAGAGTGTCAGAGATGCAGATGCAGATGCACACTGACAGAGCTGTTAGATTGGCTGCAGTGTTCTTTTTTTTTTGAGGCATGATACAGCAAAATGCAGAGGGAGATGACAGGAGCTGCACTCTGCTGCACCAGCAGCCTCGAGTTGCCAAAAATAGGAGACAGACTCCAGAATCAGGAGACTCCCTCTTCGCTTTGCAGCTGCTCAGACACAAGCACTTTTTCCTTTTTGAATGTTTCATGAAAAGGGTAGCTCACATCATCTGAAAGAGGCAGGAATGTATGTATCTGTCAGGAATGACAACTTTCTTATTTAACCTCAGTGATGGAGGGATAGCACATGGACCAGAAGCCCATAAAGAGGCTGAGAGGTCAGCTTCCCTGAGGCCAGCTGGGATTAAAGCTGCAGAGATTGCTACTCATTGATGCGTTTGCACATAGAGAACAAAACCTATTGGATCTAATCTGCTTATTTCGCCGGTGGCATAGAAGTCCTGTCTCTCTGGTGCTGCAGTGTTGTGAGTTCTAGTAAAATGTTGATGTTTTGAGGAGCTGCAGAACGACAACTTTTTCCCTCTAACAGGCCGATCAGTTCTCTTCATCACATCAATTTCTCTGGAGGATCTTTGCTGGCGATGAAAACTGGGTCTTTGGGACGAGCCAACAGTTTTCATATAAAGTGTCTTAAGTTCGCCTGTCAGGTGGGCACGCTCGTCATTTTTACCCCTCGGCCTGAAAGGCTCGGGGCATGAGGCGGGATTACCCAATTTTGTGAGCGTGATAATTGATTTTCAAGTTGATACCTCTGGTGCATCTACAAATACTCTCAGTGACGCCGACCTCAGGGTCAGAGGTCAAGTTTTCAGAAAATCTCGTGAATGTGATAACCCGAGAAGGAAGTCACCTAGGAGTTTCAAATTCTGCGAGCTGGCAGTATTTTTTCATCAGTTTGCAGATATTTGAATATTTGAGTTCTCCTGTAACATCATGATGCACCCGAGGGCAGGATTCACGATATCATGTTCTTTCTTTTCGTCTTTGCTCGGCACCTCGACCAAGCAGGTTTGCATCCTTGCTGAAAACAATCACTTTGTATTTTTGACTTTTTAAGTCACAGAAAAATCTGCTGTTCCTAAAGCGCCGATGTTGTTTTTAAAACCTGAACAAATTCCATATGGATGCTCCTGCGACAGATATGAAAGACACAAAAGTGCACACTGCATTTGAACCATGTTCTTCTGCTTCAGGCTTCCTCCATCGCTGCAGAGCACAGCCAGGTGGATCCGGGACAGTTTAATAGAAACTGCTTTACATTCAGAGGCGGTGTGTGTGCATGTGTGCGTTTCAAACCACCTCTTATTTAATTCCTGTAACAAGTGTGAAAGTATGTGTTATTGTTGGGACTGCTGTTCCTGCACCTTTTACAAAGCTCTGTAAAGGTGCGTTCACTAGATGAACCAGCACAAAGCAGCTCCTCGCAGCGCCGTTTCTCTGATGATTCCTGTTCGTTCAGCAGCAGCAGCAGCAGCAGCTGTGTGCATCGTCCTCTGAAGTGTGCTTAAGTTTACAGTGTAAAGAACAAACCATCGATCGTGTCTCTCTGAAACAGTTTCTCTTGTTTCTGTCTCCTTCAGACATATCCCATGGTACTCGAGTACCGGCCACGCATCGACTTTGGCTGAACCACGAAGAAGAGGACCACACACACACACAAAGTCATCCATACAAAGCAAGCAAGACATTAAGAACATCTGCATTTCCAAGAATAAACTGCACATACACACACACGCACACACACACATACGCACGCCAACCATATGCAGAAAAAGAGAGAAATTTAAATGTATTTTTGTACAGCCAATGATGAAGTGCTTACGTTGTTATGTTAAAGAGCTTTTATGCTACATAGAATAATATATGCTATAATATATGATATTTTTAAATGTATGTCCCTGTGCCTAAAAGAGCTGTTCGGATCAGAAATGAAGTATGACCATATCTCCTCTTTGCCTGTCTAACTCTAACTGTAGAATAAATGTTGATTTTCTACTGCTGGCGGCTGTGTTTGTCTGAATCTGCGGTTTGATTGCTTCACTATCTCAGCTTGTGGTTAAAGAACGGTCAGCATGTGTGTACGTATGGTTCATATGGAGCTGATACCGGGTATCACTAAGAGGTCTTTGCTCAAACACAAGTATCAGCACCAAGTTAACTAGTGACCCTTTAAGTTTAGCTCCGCCTCTCATTTGGAAAGCCTTTTTAAACTAACCTTTGTTGATCCGACAGAGAGATTCAGCGAGTGCTCAGCTTATTTCTGGACTCAAATGCTTTTCACAAACACATTTTCATTTGCAAGCATGACAAGGAAGTCGAGCAGAGCTCGAAACCTGCAACTCTGTTACCCACATTCGGTGGTGCTCTGTCACTCTGATTAAAAATACAGCATTAATATGGAAATGAACAATGGCCCTTTTTTAATAAGATCTATTTTCTTTCACCACACTGCTGCTGGTTTAACAGTACGCCAGATCTGCAGCTGGATTTACATCTAAATTCAACTGAAACTACTATTTTTAAAGCTGTAAGGCTGCTTTATTTATCTTACTATAACACACCAAAATTCCTCCTACATGATCAGGAGCTGAGCAGCCAAACTTGGCACATCCTGGGCCCTGGGAGGTTCACATATGTGTCAGGTATTATAATCTTATGATATTTTCCAGCTATCGCCTTGTTTTTAGCAGTTATGAACCTATAACACCTCAAAAAAGCGTGGTATAATTTTTATTTCACCACAACTGCAAAACTTCAGTTAATGACTGAGGTATTATGATGCTATGTGGTTACCTGGCAACCACCTAACAGCAAACTAAACTGAACGTCTATGAAAGATGTCTTATTTGTTTAATTTCTGGACAAAAACATCTCAAGAAGTGCAATTCTACATGCTTAGCAACCACATAGCAACAAGCTAAAATTAACCATTTTCAGGATATAAAAACCATCTATCAGCCTTATTTTTTATCTCCTTTATGTGATTAAATATATCAATTTGCAAGAAGGACTAGCCAAAAACTACTGTAGATATGCTACTTTTAATTGCTTTATATGCACAAATCCAGGTAGGGTTCAAAGTGGCTTGCACAGCCGCTCTGTTTGAAAGGTCTTTTTCCTTTCAGATCATCAATGTTTCCTTTTGCTCTCAATTGTTATTTTATTTCTATAAATGCAGAAATGCAGGAACATCGTACTAATGTAATGAAAATATACCACATAGTAATTTAAACCTCACTTTAGTGGAGTTCTGTGGAAAAATATTTTAATTATTTACACTCAACAGACAGGTGTTAGCTACAGCTTCACCTTTAAGCTCAAATATGAAGAAACTGAGATCATCCTACAGGATGAGAGTGTGACAGGAAGGCGGACAGCTGCACCGTCGCTTGTTTCAGAAGGATATTTAAAGTGGAACTACAGTGCTTTTCTGTCCTGTATATTCTGTTTCAGCGGCCGGTGTCCATAACAAACATGGTGAAAATTTGAAATGAGATCACTGTAAGTAGAAGTGAATCGCATGAGCCAAAAGTTCAGGTTTCAGACTGCAGTAACCCTCTGAAGTCTTATGTTCTCATCTTAGCCCCAACACTGAAACCCAAGCCAGTGTTACAGAGAAGAGCAAAAAGCACTTCCTGGAGACAAAACCTAAATAACCACCGAGGTGAGTCAGATTATTACAGTTCACATTGTTTTTGTCCAACAATTACAAAGAGGTGGGAGAAGAAGTTAAAATGAGATAAATAACTCATAACTAGTGTAGCATCCACTGTTTCTGACAGTTTGATGAAGAACCTTCATGACATCAAAGAGATTTGGCTAAAGGATAAGAAACTAAAACTGCTTTGTTAGTTGGCTGTAATATGAGTGGACTACCCGAGTGGAGTCCAAGAATAAAATTATGAAATTCTGCTGGAAATGTGCACAATAATTCCCTTTAAAGTCTTAAAAAGACACAGAGCTGTTTGGGTTTAAATGCATTAGGATCTGAAAGGCAGGAAGAACGTGACCAAACATCCCAGCAGAGCCTGAATGGAGAGAAGGAGCTTCTTCCTTGAACCTTTGATTCTTCCCTGGACTTAAAGGTTTTACACATTAAATCTATCATATGTGATTTTTTTTTTAATAAAAGGCACATTTCTAAATTGCGAGCTAATCTTCTCCTCTGAACTAGAGAAATGGTCAAGCCTAGATTGTTGCAACGCCCTTTTTTACCAGATTATAAATGGTCTCTGTCACGCCTCCAAGCAAAACAAAATTCATCACCCCAGTTTTATTCTCTTTGCATTGGCTCCGATTTTAGAATTCATTTTAAAATTCTCACACTTATCTCAGCTTGTCTCGCTGTCTTTGCTCACGAGCTCCAAATCTATCGGTTCACCGTTAAAGACTTTCAGTTTAATCAGACGTTCTTTTATTAGTTCTTTTGTTATTTTTTCCGTTCTCTTTTAATATTGTCTTTAAATTGTTGTTAGATCTTTATCAAGTCCTTTATAAATAAACTTTACTTTACAAGAATTGCAGGACTTAAGTCACCTACCGTGTTTGCTTGTGACCTTTAAATACAGTGGTTTGGATAATCTCACCACATGTTTGCTTTGACTACTTCTTGGCATATCTGCAGTCTCCACATAGACTGTGTACCTGCATTAAACCAAGGCTTGATCAGATGTGAGACGGACCAGTACAATTAGGACTACTCGCGACTATAAACACAGATCAGAAAGCTCCTGGTGGTCTTACTTTTGCCTACAGATTCTGACTTTTCACTCAATGACAGAGAAATAATAAAAGAGAAAGACGCGACACGCAAAGAAACAGGGATAGAAATCTGTGGGAGAGATAATCAATACCTGAAACAGGAAACATATCAGCTTTCACTCATAGATGTAGCCATGTTGTGACAGGCATGTCTCTCTACTCATTTCCATCATAAACTTGCAGGTAAGTGGAATTTTTCTTCCATGTTGTCACTTAGTGATGAGCAGAGACACAGTTACTCTAATAAAACTCTGAATTTTATGTAATTTTACAGCAAAGATTCACAGGAGGATTCCTTTCAGGGGAAGTGATGCTTCTTAGTTCAAAATCAGAATTTATGTTTTGAATTGTTTTTGCAAAGGAGCTCTTATGTCTGAGGTGTTTGTTGGAGGGGATACATATGGGCTTAAATATTTAAAGAACTCCAAGGCAATGCCTTTTCAAAATAAAATAAAAATGCCGTATTTTCACAGCATTAAAAAAGCATTAAATTAAAGTGATTTAATTTTTTATTTTGAAATAAGAGGAAGGGTTTTTTAAATTTAATTTCATGTTTATTTTGTTACATGGTGTTATCAGATTCTCCTCATACTGCTTTTTACGTCGAAGAATTTAATGTTGTTTTCATTCATTTATATAGAGGCTGTGAATACCTGCCAAGCGACAAAGTTTGCTGCTAGCAGGACTTTCCTCACCATAAATGCTTTCTTGATTGCTCATCATTGGCAGCACACATGCCCTGCAGTAGTCAGGGTCACGCGAACCATGTGCTGCTTACTAAACAGTCAGTTTGATGAACTGCATTTGAACTTGTAATCATACAGAAAGAGGAATCTGTGTGATTGCATAGACACGCCTCATGAAAACATCTAAACAGAGAGTTACAGAGTGGGCCTGCATCCTTATGAATGTGTCTGAAATCATCAACAGGGCTTCTTCTTCTTCTTCCCTGGCAGTTACACTCACACACGCCCTTCCAACTGTTTCTCTTTGCCCTTGCAGTTGTTTTTTCAGGTCAGAGTTATGTAGGCCAGAGGTCCCTGTGGTTTTTATGACTCACATTGATGCTGCTGACCCACCAACACTGTAATCAACCTCAGCTTTATGAGGAAAGATGAATCGGAGGCAACAGCATTAATGGTGAGCAGATGAAAAACCTGCGCTGGACAAACTCGAGCTGAAACTCTAAAAACCTGAGCTGACACAGAATGTATAAACCTGCGAATGCTTGCTATCTAACAAATACTAATAACACTGAAAAGAATACAGGTGCTTAATCTCTGGACATCCACCAGGTCGCCATTGATCAGCTTAGAGTTCATCTTTGGATTATTAAGAGTTCTTTGAAACTATTTTATACGAGAAAAAGGAATCGTACACAGTCCTCGGCTAAAATGATCAAATCGGCTGCTCAATTACTCAGTGTTGAGGAAAAAAACACCTATGGAAACGCCTTATTACACCCGGTTTATTCAGGACACAACAAAGAAGACAGATGCACAAAAAGGGATAACAAAAGAAAACTAGCTGCTAACCTATAACCAACGTGTGCCGTAAATTAGAGATAGCTGCAAAACAAGCAAAGCTGGAAAAGAGTAAGAAAACAAATATCGGTGCCATGAAAAGGAGAGAGCGTCATCTTGGAAGGAAGCCTCCTTATAAGCTCCCAAAGAGGCGGGGAGGAGGTGTTAACTAGCATCTGAAAAAGAGCAAGCAAAAACAGACCAACTGAGCAATTTAACGAACAACAATTTCTAAGACGAATACCTGCACAAATGTAAATCTGCAAATGTTGTCAGACATTAACGAGCTGTTGCACTTGGAGGCGTGGCCCCAGCACGAGAGCTGTCAGCTCAAACAAAGTGTCAGGACTGAAAGTGTGCTGTGAAAATGGAAAACACAACCGCCAGCAACCAGCACAAACTAGCAAACAGAAGAAAATAAGGTTAGAGCGGGCTAAAGGAGAAGGTGGAGGAAAGTTCAGTCATGAATCTGCATCGGCTCAGGGGATGATGCTGGAAGTTTTGTCTGCTCAATTCCATCCATCCATCCATCCATGCATCCAGCCTCCTCCCGGTGGGACATGCCCGGAAAACCTCACCCAGGAAGCGCCAAGGGGTGAGCCAGCGGCTCTACTCTGAGCCTCTCCCGAAAGGCCGAACTTCTCACTCTATCTGTAAGGGAGAGGCCAGCCAACCTTCAGAGGAAGCCCATTTCTGCATCACTGCGGCCACAG